GAACAACAAATGTACAACCGCTATCGCACCACCTGACCCTACGAACAGTAGTACATTCCTCCAAATCGAGAATGGCGATGTCCAAACAGACGCAAGGACAACATCGACAACGGAATATATGCTTAGCTAACAAGCCCAGCCAACTGTGACGCACAAGTCGAGCAACTCAGAGCAACTACAAATAGCTTCATCATCAACACAACAACCTGCTGAGAGCGAAGTACATACCGTCGAGTTGGAGGCTACTACAGCGACTACCAAAACACAACATGATCTCGAAGCAACCATAGCTAGAAGAACGGCAGAAGGTCGCCAAGTCTCTCGAGAACTGCGGGACCTTGTGATAGATGATAATAATGTCGACTGGTATCACGATAGCCGCCGTAAGCGACGAACTCCTAGCACTACACACACTGTTAATCCAGCAACTGCAGCAATGGAACCGAAAACATATAAAGGTATATATGAGATGTCAAACACAGCCGATTGGGAGGAATCAGCACGTTCGGAGATGGAGAGCTTGGTGATACATCGCAAGGCATTCACTCTGGTTGACAACAAACCGTGTGAGAAATCATTATCTCCCTCTCGATGGGTCTTCAAGACAAAAACGGATGAATCAGGACAAGTCACACGACTCAAATCACGTGTGAACGTAGCAACATTCAATACAAAACAGGGAGTCGATTACGATGAAAGCTATGTTCCAGTAGTAGCCAAGGAAACACTCACGACCTGTCTAGCTCTAATGGCACACTATGACATGGACATTCGACAATACGATACACCCTCGGCCTACCTCACTCAAGAACTGGATACCCCTAGCTACATGCGAGTGCCGCAAGGATACGATCTCATCGAACATATATTGGACCCATCACCGTGTGAGAAATCATTATCTCCCTCTCGATGGGTCTTCAAGACAAAAACGGATGAATCAGGACAAGTCACACGACTCAAATCACGTATGAACGTAGCAGCATTCAATACAAAACAGGGAGTCGATTACGATGAAAGCTATGTTCCAGTAGTAGCCAAGGAAACACTCACGACCTGTCTAGCTCTAATGGCACACTATGACATGGACATTCGACAATACGATACACCCTCGGCCTACCTCACTCAAGAACTGGATACCCCTAGCTACATGCGAGTGCCGCAAGGATACGATCTCATCGAACATATATTGTACCCATCTCACTATACGAAAGGCACAAGCAAGGAGACACACAGGTTGTACGTCGAGTTGACCGTTGCGTATACGGTCTACCACCTAGCGGACACTACTGGTTTAAAGCTATCCATCGGTTTGCTATACAACACAGTTATAAACAAGCACAATCGGATGGAGCACTGTTCATCAAACAAACACACAGTGGACCTTGCTTCATTGTTGTACACGTAGATGACAAAATTGCAGCATGCCAGAGTAAGACCGACGGACAGAAACTAGCTGACGCAATGAAAGGCGAATGGAACACTGTTGATATTGGCCTACCGTTGTGGTTTCTCAAGTGCCAAGTGGAAATACTTCCTGGAAGAGTACATCTCCATCAACGACAATACCTAAGAGAAATATTGCAGGAATGAAGGTTGATAGATTGTAAACCAGCATGGGTGCCAATTCTAGAATCGGACTATGAAGCAACAGACAAACATGCATATCTCCCGGAAAGAGTGGCAAGCTCAGACGTCCCAACAATCACACAATACAACAGGCTAGTGGGTCAGCTACGATACCTTGTAGATCAAACACGAGTGGAAATATGCTTTGCAGTTTCGATCCTAAGTCGCTACCTGATAGCACCTCAGTACCACCACTTCAGAGGTGCCAATCACTGTTTGAAGTATCTCGCTGGTACTCAGGACTTCGGACTTGAAACACAAACAAAGAACCATGTATTCCCTATCTGAGTGCAGACAGTAGCTTTGCTAGCGATAACACAACAAGACGATCCACCACCGGGCGAGTGGGCATTATAGCAGGTGCACCATTCATGTGAGGAACAAACTTGCAACGACTAGTAACAACGTCTACAGTGGATGCAGAATACGTAGCACAATCTGATACAGCCAAAGACGCAGTATGGGCTAAGAATCTCTTCACAGAATTCGGCATTCCGCTCGTAGAACCCACCACCATAGAACAGGACAACAAGTCAGCAATACTGATGGGAAATGGTATCACGAATCCCGCCGTACAAAACATGTCGATCTACGACATCATCACATCAGGGAACTCACATCGAACAACACCATCAAGCTAAAATACATACCATCAGAACAGCTACTCAGTGATTTCTTCACGAAGCCACTCAGCGGAGAGAAGTTTACCTACATACGCGACAGACTAATGACTCGGATGCCAGTATCAACATAGTTCAATTTATAATAAAGGTAAGTATTTTAAGGTAAGCAGGTGTCAAATGCTTTGTCCTTCTATCTCTGACTGCAAAATATACAGATATATCGTACCTTGTAAAAAGAGTGTGTACAAACTGTTTGTATTATATGTATAAATGAAATTATATATCACGCAATATATAGCTATATATTTGTTCATATAACTGTTTCCATCGATAAACACCCAAGTATTTCCTTGTGCAACTGTGTTCTGACATAAAATACTCTGAAGTTAAAGTTGAATCCCTCAGACAATTTGTATTCATCGATACACATAATATTAGTGACTTACTAGTTCTTTTTAATTTTTATGCGTGATATAGTAAAAGTTGCATACCTGTCACAATTTGTATAGAAATCCACTCGCAGGATACGAACAAAATTGTGAATTTCGCAGCCCACAGGCCCTGCAGGGACCACAACCTCACACTGTCTCCTAGGGTAGAATTTATCACCACACGAATTTCGTTGGTCAAGCCAATCAAAGGTTTAACCTTTTTTTTAAAAGCAACGATACTAAGGATAGCAGCCAGACCGCAGCATAAGAGCCGCACATTTCAAGACCCAAGAGAAAATCTTAGCCTCACAGTGTCCGAGTCTCAGCCTCTCAGGCCACATCCCAAAGTCAAACCAATATGCCACAAAGCAGAAGGGAGCTGTCCCCCAGTATCCACGCTACAGTCCACACCGATTCAGTAAGCAAAATGCATTTTTCAAGAAAATCTCGAGGATTTTTACCTGCGAAATTGTGATGCCTGTATCAGAGTTAGCTCACACCCGAGAGCTAATCAAGTTTTTCAAGAGTAGAGTTATTACTTATCCGACTTCCGAGAGCAGATTAAGTTTCTCAACCGATTCCCGAGAGTGGATTAAGCCTGTCAACCACAACATACTAATAATAGCTGCGGTTCTATGTGAGTCACAACCTATGCGGAAAGGCATCATGTGATCAGCGTGAGATTTAGTTGCAGAGAAGTTGAAATAGAAAAGCATTGAAGTGTTAAAGTGTTTCGCATAAGGTTTCTCATACTGACCATATGAGTTTTTACACCTTAGGTATAAAACCAAAGGTGATGTCAGAAATAAATATATACATTTGCACTTTATTTAAAGTCTACTACATTGTACTCTAACAGCATTGAGCTATTGATATCGGCGTTCAAATTTACATACATTGGATCGGGTCTTATATATACATATAGGTGAAACAAGTAAAAGCAAGGGACCATTTCTCATCTTGTAGGTTGTACTTTTCTTCGAATTTATCTTATCCCCGGAAGTTGTCCAATGCTAATGTCATGAGATTTCTGCCCTGATCATTGTCGTATTCATACAGCTCCTATATTGAGATACTACCATCAGTCAGAAACATATCCGTCTCAGATTCTGATCATGTAGTAGATCTTGCTTCTGAATCGGCACCCAAACTGATTTTGTCATCGATGGTCGCTCTCGTACATTCGCGCAACACAGTGCGTAACCGAGTTCATGAATTACGCAGGGCCTGACATTTGATATAGAACGCAGGCGAGGTTGGGCATGGACACTATAGTTGCTTATCGAAGCGCAGTATTATGCGATCCTTTGGCTGTGTCAACTTGTTCAAGATGGGCCAGACGGTGGTTGTACAGGCTTGGGCCCACGAACTGCGAGGAAACACGTATGCTTTCTTCAACGAGAGACAGAAGACGGCCAAAGAACTAACTATTGTCGGTCCTCGTGCTGTAATTCTACAAATTGCGTCGCAGACTGGAAACATTCACGAAGATCCGTCAATCAGCTTGTCGGCATATGCGGCATCGTACAACAATTCAGCTATGTTGGATGGCGACACGGCGGTGCAGCAGGTCACCCCAATTGTGTCTGGCAGGAAGAAGACGACAAGCGGATGGATACAAGACGAAGGCTTTCTGTTCAGAGCACGACCGCATGCGATAAAGAAAAGCGACTGGCGATATAAAGACTACTAAGGAGGGCACTTCAGGCCAGCAAGCACAATAGGTAGACGCTGAGCGACAGCGTCGTTTCGACACCCAGATGTTGTCTCTAGCCGACGCGGTGCGACCCCAAGGGCACGCAGAGAGAGATTGATTGCCCAGGTGCTTGCAAAAGTGGGTGCAACCGTTGTTAAGAAGCGGTCTTCTCGGTAGCAGGGTGTGTATCATTTCTCGTACGCCAGAACATTCAAATTTTTGATGTTCTGGTGCTTTTTTATTATTAACCCTGGTGTCATATTTTTTTTTGCAGCACTGGAAAGTCACTAAATGTACATAAAAAGTTTATATGTACTTTCAATTTTTCATTAAAACAAATTTGAGAAAAGAATTTAAACTCGCATTTAGTTTAGAAAACGTACCCGTAAATCTGTATGTATATAAAGTGACTTTTCCATGTAGGCCATGTACATTTAGAGTATTTCCTCTTTTTTTTTCCACGTGTCTGCAAGACACTGAGCGCTTGGCATTCATTACAATATTCACGAATGTCGGCGGATTCGCAGCGCTAAACTTCCTGTTGGCCCTATGTTATCACGGGAAGGACGTGCGTCGTCGACCTAATCGCAGAAGTTATGCCGAGTGGAAGTACGGCAAGGCTATCGAAAGGACGTTCCTATGGCACCAGTGGGGCGAGAGGTGGACCTCCTTCAAACGCTTCGTCATCTAAGGGGACCTACGAGGCAAGGTATGGTCGGAGAAGTAGCAGCGAGACGCCTAAGCACATGACTTGCCACATCTGTGGCAAGAACCACTAAAGAGTGGATTGTCCTCATCGTGTTACCCTGGCTGGGGCTGTGGCCGCCACCGTTAACAAAACGAATAAGGATAAGTGACGGTGTGAGGAGGGGCCTACAATGCCTTGCCTGGTCGATGACAGTGAGCTTCAGGTTTACTGCGACTCAGGCTCTTGTCCATCGACGATCCTCCGTTCGGTGGCGGAAGCGGAGTAACTGGTGCCTGCCGAGGTCGACCAGAATGGGCTGCAGATGTACGATGGTTCGCTAAAGACCACCCTTTCAGAAGGAGTGGTGACCACGTTACGTTTGCAAACATACTCGAAGGAAATTCTTGACAGATGAGATCACGTTTTATGTGGTGGATGTACCTAGCCTAACGGAATAATCTACTACACAGCATATGGTACACTTCTACTGAGCCCCTTACCGTCCGCATGGCAGTTAAGGCCTCTGTTCCGGTTGCTGCCCTTATTTACAAAACCTCCGAGACGATATTAAGCATGAAGCTGCTTTCCTACCAGGAGGAGAATACTACTAGCTCCGTCTATGGCTTTGCCTACTTAGAAGAGTTGGCACGTGGCATCGAGGTGCCTGAGGAAGAGCTGGCTAGCATGATGCGCCACTGGGAGCAGTGTGCGTACGACAAGGCCAAGCCTCACGAGTTCTCAGTTGGCGAAGAAATTTCTATCTTTATGTGTTCCGATGCTATAGTCGACCACAACATATTCAAGATAAAGGACCCAGTGAAGATGATCATTGAGTAGAGGAAGTGCGACGATGAGGAGCAGCAAGGCATCATCCGAAAGACAACGGATCGCGGGGGATAGCTGTCATCTAACATACTGACGGAAAAGGTGAAACGAGCTCCGCTGCTAGAGGATAAGGATAGAAGGACGTGTCACGCGTACGTGAGGCTCAATAAGTGGTCTCTGCCGGACAGTGCGAATATACCTGTCGAATACGAGCTGCGCCTACACATCAGCACACACTGCCCACAAGATGACTATTACCGACAACGCCAACGGGTTCAATCAGTGCTTCATCCGCGAAGAGAATAGGGACAAGACTACTTCCATCACCAGCACGGGTCAATTCTACGAACGGATTGATATCGGGCTTGGCCTCTTTGTGGTTCATGTACAGTATACAACACACAATGAGTTCAACTTTCGTGATGTCCAGGGGGTTGTGTCTTTAGTCGACGATGGCACAACAGCGACACGCTTACCGGATGGGGACCCGTTGGTATCTGGTAAGGAGAAGAAAGCGGACAGGGCTCACTGCAGCAGGTGACATCCGGTACAAGCGGCGGTCACCTCCAAGACCAAGTTCAACGCCGTTAAGTGCCAGCTGGCCAGGAAGAAGTATTCTCGGGCGTCTGTGGTTCCACGGCATGGTCACCATCGGATGATCGCATGTAAGGGATTGTGGCCATGGGCGTTCCCAAGAATAAAGATGAGGTTCTCACGTTTGTCTGCAAGATGACCTGGTGGTCCAGTTCCATACCGGGTTTGGGTGGGTGTTTAGCCCCACTCTCTAACTTTTTTGCTGACCCGAGCTGACCTTGGAGTATCAGAAAGCGTATGACCGCTGCATGTGGTTGCTTATCACAGCGGCAGCGGCACTATGTTTGTACACCCCGGGTAAGGACGAGCCGCTACTCGAGTATCCTGACGCCAGCGAGGTGGCGGTCGGGGGTGCTTTGATGGTACACCGGACGCCTGAGGAGGTGGTGGCGTTCGAAAAACGGGTCGAGGCGTTCTTAAGGAAGTCCATCGACAACAGCGACATGTCAAGGCTGTGACTCCTGCCCTGCAACAGGCCAGCTAACGATGCTCTAATAGTGTAGCTCACCTGGAATCCACGGACATGGTTTTGGCGGAGCCACAGCAGAAGCAGTGGGAGGCACAGTACCGTTGCATGGGGAATGGCAAGGAGATGTCGCTTCAGCTGGTTCGTGGGCAGTTGGCGGAGAGACCAACAGTGGACGACCGGAGAAAAGAGCTGACACTGTATGACCAGAATTTGATGCACCTGGTAGGGTGTAGGATCCCATCATTATCCAGGCTCATCTCGTTCTTAGTTTCCTTCATGGGGTCCATCACTCGTCTACTGTAGATCTGGTGCCTCGATATGGTGACTCTGACGTCGCTCTTCTGGCGATGTCTTAGGATAAGAGGGGCTCCGTTTTGGCGAGGAATTCGATAGGGGCTTTTAGTCGGGGGGTCCGTTGTCGAGTGATAGTGAGAATGGGTAAATGTTGCGGCGGTACTTGGTGGCGGTTGCAGACTGAGCGTGAGGTGGAGACGACCGTGGTATGTTCAACCAACGCTGCGCCTGGTGGCGAGACGACTAAGTCCGTTCATCGCCGGCGATGACAGAGGGTTCCGCTCAGGGTGCGGAAGGTATTTCCGTGGGCCAATCACGTCAGGAATGGACGCATGGGAAGTTGTTAGCGGGTTAGAAGCTCGTGTTATCAAGCGAGGGGCATCAAGGATGCCACCGTCCAACGCTGGAGCAGGGGCAAGACTTGACACCTCTTGTATTGGAATCACCTGTGGAAACGGACAGTAGCGGTTGCTTCTAGCCCACAAGGACACGATTTTCTTTGGAAGGAGTCTTTGCCGGCGTTCAGTGCCGAAGGGTTGACTACCGGTAGTGAGCTCGCCGATGCTCTTGCGGCCAGAGTATCAAGGACAAGCGCCCAGGGCGGCCGAGCCCCTACGGCGGTGATGCCGAGGGACGGGATGGCAGATCCTGCCGACGACGAATTGTCGGTGGATGGGGGCGCGGATGAGCGCAAGGAATGTGACGTGCAGCCTATACACGAGGACGATGCTCGGGTGGACGAGTTCCTGGACGACACGAACGAGCGAAAAGGGAGCTGTGGCTGCCTCGGGTTCGCGGCCGGTCGGAGACTCATGGGCATCCAGAGGTGTATTCTGAAGAGCAGTTGTTACGCCTCAAGGTGTACAGAAGTTTGCTGAGTCGGTGATCGACTCGGACTTCCCGAAGGAACCAGGAGCTGTTTGGAGAACAGCAGGTTCGACCGTATGTGGTCTCCGACTCGGTGGCAACGGACGGTCCGTCGGTGGCTGTACGCTCGGAGTGTGTGGAGACGCCACGGTACAGGAGGTGCTGCGTGACTCGCAGCTCATGGTGCGAGGAATGCACATTTCGGCTCTGCTGGCTATGCGAGCGGTCTGGAGTGTCCACTGGAAGCACATATGCGTTATCGTGTCTTTTTTGGCCTCAGGCAGTGTGGTTTCCGAAACTGGTGTTACTGATAGCAGATGATCCTATTGTTATAACTCGAGAAACTGGGCATTTACCGAGCATGGCCTGGATCTGGCAGACTTTTAAAAAAACAATCGGATGCAATGTTAACGAGACGCGAGAGTTTCATGCTCACTAGCTACTATGTTGGGTGTCATCTCGTCGAGCTAGCAGTGAGAGCTGTGACTCGCAGATAAAAATGATCACCTTGGGATCCGATTGTATTTATGTCATTTTTCTGGTACACATGTATTTATTCAGGTTTGGTAAATTGTAATAGCCACAAGGGTATAGTTCAGAACTAAACTTAGGTACCGAACTACAGAGGTCTACCAATTAGAAGGAAGGAGAAGAAGCTGTCATGGTGATTAGTGAGCCGATATAATCCTACTGATGGAGCTGATATGACAAGAGAGAGGAGCTGGTGCACGCCAGGGCTTAGCTATGATGTACAAAGGATTGGAGGACTGCTGAAGAGGACAGAGGAGTTGCCTAGTATGGAAGGTGTCGTGGACAATGGTACCAGCCTAGTGAGGATGGGAAGAGGAATAGCATGGCATAGATTCAGGGGGTTCCTTGGTAGATGTAGAGAATATACTTATAGGTTATACAGTAGGGATAACCGAGCATTTGTGCTGAAAGAGCTCGGATAATTGTCTATTAAACTGTTCGAAACCCTACCGTGTTGATAACTAATACAAAATATGTATGTATTCAATTTTGGTCACAAAACTTTACGCGGGAAAAATATTTTTATAAAAAAAAAGGTAACACAAAAAGTAGATAATCAAATCAGTAAAATCAAGAGTCGTGAATCAGTTTGCGATGCACTTTCATACCAACGACATGCATATACTTTCAAACAATTATATCTCTCTACCGGTATGTTTACTGATAGTGAGGTGGAAGACCTCCGGGATCGGCCTGATATGCAGATCGAACCTGTATTAAGTCCTAATGTAATCCCCTTGGATTGGTTTACCGAAAATTCGCCACGAAGTCTGCAAGCGATGTTTCAAGACATACGGCGAGGGTCTAGTTCGCTGCACAGTATGTATAGCTGCATAATTAACACGGAATATATTTTTCAAGAATATATCGGTTTAGCTATGAGTTTGATCAATCGAGAGAAGATGTAAATGAATATGCAAGCATTTACATGTGTATGCATATATGCACGCCTGCATGCCTGCGTGCCTGCGTGCCTGCATGCCTGCGTGCCTG